GCCTCTCAGCCGCTGTGCAGACATACCCTGAGAAACCAGCGGGTAAGGGGGAGCGGGGCAGGAGTCCGACCTGTAGAGCCCATGCACGGGCTGGAGCTCTTCTGGTAAGTGAAGAGCAGCTTCCCTGTGTTTTGTCTGTTCTCCTCCAGCTCGTTGCAGTCTCTCTTTCCTGAGAAGCTGAGCCGGCAACCGCTGGTTTGTTTCAGCCGAACACCTACCTCAGCCCTCAGTCCAAATCCAAACATTTCATTAACACTTCATCTCCACGGCTTTGCCTGCAATGCTACGCTGTAATGAAGTGCTGGACTCAGAAACGTTGTGCTAGGAAAACTGGTTCAGTGCCTGACCCTGGGGGAAGAGAGTGCTGCTTTGGGGGAAGTTCAAAGAGCCAGAGTCAACCCTGGGGTAACTTTGGTCCAGGGCGTGTTCAAATCAGGCCATCAATGGGAATGGGAAGTCAATGGGAATCGCTGTTGATTGTAATAAGTTTTTAATCAGATCCTAATTGATCAGGGATGAACAGGGGCTGGCCTCAGTGAAGCTACTCTGAGTAAATGTTTCCCAAAACAGCCATCCTGTTTGCCATGCGATTTGATGGAAGAGGGCCCACAAAAGAGTTTGTCTGGTGTGTGGTTAATGCCTGTCTTTCACAACTGTGCACATGTAAACAGTCCCACAAAAATTGAAATACACGTGAGAAAAAAATTGGTTTTCTAGGAAGCAGAATCTTTGCAGCAGATGTTGCGCTACTACCAATGCAAGTATTTCAGCATGTTTCACATTGAGTCAGATCTGCGTTCCCGGCTCACCTTCACCCAAGAGCTAGATCTGCGCTTAAGACTAATTCTTTCTACCATTCAAATAATTCGACAAATAAAATCCACTCTGTTGTTTTAGCAAAGATTGAAAGGGCCCACTCCTCCTGAGCTAGATGAAAGGGATGCAAATTGTGTCCTGCATAACAATGCGGAGGGTGGGTGCAGGGAATCATCCTTTTGTGGCGTGGGTGCCTAATTGCTTTTCTTGACTATGGGATGTTTCCATGCCTATGCAAGGTGCCTGTGGGTTTCACGCCAAGCAGAACAGGCTTGGCTTTGATCACTCATAATAACAGCTCTTCGTTCTGCTCTTTCTGGAGATAAAGGTGCCGAAGGAAGCTACCAAACTGTATGAAACATTATTTAGATTGCATTTAAGGTTTTAAAATACTTCACCAAAAAAACCTGTTGCTGTGGAGCTTCTTTGTTGGCTAAATTGATCATTTTACTTTAGATGCCGTTGCCAACTTTCAAAGGGTTGGGGTCTTTTGTGTGTGTGTTTTATTATTCTGATCATTTTACAAATTAGTTGAAATATCTAGAAGCTACATTTCTTATTCATAAAGGCCAGACTGCGGTTGGTAGTCCATCGCTGGCAACAATGGTGTTATTGTCTCAGCTCTCAACTACATCCGTGTATATGACTCTGAAGTCACAGAACCACAGAACACTAGAACTGGAAGGGACCTCAAGAGGTCACTGAGTCCTGTCCCCTGATGCGCGGAGTCGGCTGCACGGAAGGCATGGAAAGTCCGTATCGATGATGATAGAGGACACAGGTCTGTGGGGCTTTCACACGCAGCATGGAGACAGTTTCGTTGATCCCTCTCAAAACTGGGACAAGCTGCTCGTTCTTGTCAGAGACTGTCTGTAGGGCTGGGTCTGAGTCAGTGCCTTGAGTTCTTGGAGAACTCAAGCGGCGATTAGCAACTAAGCTGCTCTTTTGAACTCTTCACAATCAGGAGATTCTCCAGCCCCCTGGAAGCTCTCGTCAGGTTGTCTTTGAAGCATGCAGACAGATGACCCTTCTTTTCTTTGCTCTGACTCAACTTCCGTATAAGATCTACGTTGGGAGACAATGGTCTTCTTTTCTAGTGCCATGTCCCATCCTGCCACGTTGTGCTCTCAGTAGTGTTTCCTCAGTGCTGGCTGTGTTTGCTCACTCTCTCAAGGACCTAACTATTGGTTGCGCTGTCCTACCCGGGAGTGCCCATAAGTGAGCAGAGGGGGTACACGTTCTGAGTCGTCCAAGAGGCTGGCTGGCTCTACTAGTTCGGAAGACGGTTATCAAGGGAGCCATCGCTCAAGATGGTGCCGCCCAGATGCATGCACTGATTCACATTTCTCAGCTGTGTGCCTTGGAGGGAGATGGTTGGCATTCATGCTTGGGAATGGGGTGCCAGTTGGAACAAGACCTCTGTCTTATTGAGGCTGTTGGTGAAGCCAAGAGCCCGGATGCTTCAGAAAGATGTTTGGTAATGATCTTAAGGTTATTGTGTCTGTGCCACCAAGGCACAGTCCTCTGCTAAAAATGCCTATGTGAGATGTCTCCCCAGTGTCTTAGCACTGAGTCTTTGAAGATCAAAGAGGAAGCCATAGACTCAGGTGTGGATATATATCCCCTGGTCTAAGTCTCTGGGGGTATGGCTGAGCACACAGGCAAAGACCTAACATCCATGAATTTATCTAGCTCTTTTTTGAACCCTGTTGTAGTCTTGGGCTTCACAACATCCTCTGGCAAGGAGTTCCACAGGTTGACTATGTCTTGTGTGTAGAAATGCTTCCTTTTATTTGTTTTAAAATGGCTACCTATTAGGTTCATTTAAGGACCTCAAGTTTTCGTGTTACGGGAAGGAATAAACAACTCATCTTTATTCACTTTTTCCATGCCAGTCATGATTTTATAGACCTCTCTCATATCCCCCTTAGTCATCTCTTTTCCAAGCTGAAAAGTTCCAGTCATGTTACTCTCTCCTCCTGTGATAGCCATTCCATACCCCTGATCACTTTTGTAGCCCTTTTCTGAACTTTTTCCACTGCCAAGAAATCTTTTTTGTAAGTGAAGTGATCACATCGAGATGCATTCAAGATGTGGGTGTACCGGGGATTTATAGAGAGGCATTAAGATAAATCCATGGTACGCCCACATCTTGAACAGATGGATGATTTATATGAACCTTCTTGGGCAGCCCAGTTTATGCAGAATAGCCCGTTGACCCGCTCTTACCTGATGTTCAAAAGCTTCAATCAGCAAGAACCGGGATGCTGGATGCACAGCGGTTTTGAAACCCAAGCCCTCACTCTCAGGGGGAAAGGAGAAATGTAGATTTCTGTGACAGACTTTCTAAATGGTGGGGTAGGATGAGGACATTTCATGACAGGACAGTTCTGAAGTGTAGCCAGTCCTTTGCTGATGACCTGAACCAGTGACACCGGAATGCATGGTGTCCCTGGATCGGCTCTTACTGTCATTTGCATGATCTCATTGAAAGTGTCATTAAAAGGATGCACCCTCTTTAAAACTCTCCTGCGTCACAAACACCACTGACAACAGCTAGGCAGCTGGGGTGTAGAGATCACAGCCTATCCTGCAGTAGTGTCTCATTGTTCCCTTGTATTCCTCTTTTGCCTGTGTCTGTCTGTGGTCTCGTGTGATTGTCCGCTCCTTGGGACAGCAGCTGTTGTCTTGTTCGGTCTGTATAGCCCCCAGCCCACTGGTGCCCTGGGCTGTGATGGGGTCTCCTGGGATTACTTCGGTAATAATCATAGAAGTGGCTTGGTCCCCAGGGCTGGAATATCTTGAAGTCTTTGCATCTCCCTGGGCCTTACTGCAAGGGAGGCCTGCACGGAGGAATTCCCCACAGACTTGCATTGTCTGGGGAATTGACAATTGCAGTCTCTAGCCTGCCTCTTATATGGAGGAAAGCGACTCCCGTTCTCATCAGGTAGCAGGTTGTTCTCCCTCTGCACATGACATGACTGCAGAAAAGACAGGGCATTGGTGAATCGGGCCTGTAAGCCTTGTGCCCCATCTCACTGGCCATGTCCTTTTAGCACCGGGGCTGTTGATGACTTGCTAGGAAACGGGCCATGCGGTATCTCTCTGATACGCCCTGTTGCAGATCTGGAGGCAGGGAGACCCAGCAGTGAATCTGAGTAAGCCGCGGTGAGCTCTGTGGGGCGGCAAATGGGCGAAGTCATGCAGGGTTGAATTTGCCGCACAGAACAGCGGTAGAGGGGGGTTTGATGCCAGGGCTTTCCACATATGGAAAAACATCAAGAAAAGCAACTGTACCTCAAAAGGCCAGTTAGCGGCTGAAGCTGGTATTAATTGGCAGTGGAGGTGTTTCATTATGAAGCAGGATTTTGTAGCAGCTAGTAACCATGAAAACACGAACCGACAGAAGAAAACATGAGCTGGTTTTATTGTCCCCACATGCAGTAAGTTTTGCTAGCCAGGGCACTGCTGGTCTCATTTAAAATCATGCGAGCTGCATGCATCTTGGGCTAGCAGTGATTAGCAACTGAGTTGCCCTTCCTGAAATCTTCACAGTCAGGAGACGCTCCGGACTGCAGCTTACAAACCGGGGACGTATTCCAGTTCACTTGGCCCAGACCAACCCCTGGGACGTTCCCAATGGGAGAGCGCCTTGTCCCTTTGCAATGTGGGGCACCCTGTCCGCGGCAGCCGGGCGATCAGTGGTTACTACGGCAAAGAAATTTGAAATGTGATACCTTATGTAAGCAGTTGCCCCGGTGTGGCTTGGACACGGCTCACGCTGGCGAAGCAATGCAGTCTGGGGAGCTCGCTCTCACCTGCTCAGGGATAGATCGGTTTGCCGCTCTGGCTCGAATTCTTAATTGTGCATTCAGTCGACGCCGTAACTACCGGCATCCTCCCATCCCTGTGAGGCTCCAAATGTAATTTCCTTTCGGAGCATTCAAAGAAAAAGACCCCTCACTTGCTCTGACGTCCGAGCAATTCATGACAAGAACCATTTTTGCAGTCACTCCCCAGCCAAAGGGAAAGCTAACGGGTGGATGTGCTGTAGATTGCCCCTAGTGGCAAGGCAGTGGGGCAGTCTTACACTCCCCTTGCTGGGCAGGATGAATTTGTAGATGCCTAGGCAGCTCCTGACGACTCACTAGCTCCCTTTCTCACTCTGCTTTTCCTCTTTGCAGGCCATGGTGGAGACGGTTAATAACCTCCTGCAGCCGCAGGCTCTGAATGCCTGGAGAGACCTGACGGCCAGCGACCAGCTGCGGGCAGCCACCATGCTGCTGGATACGGTGGAGGAAAGTGCCTTTGTGCTGGCCGATAACCTCCTGAAGTCGGACATTGTCAGGGAGAACACTGACAATATCCGTAAGTGGCTGTGGCCAGGGAGAGAGCCAGAGGCAGAAACTGGCTTGAAATGCTGGGTGAGGTCCTGGTCCCATTCATGCCAGGGGAGGGACAGGGCTTCACCTTCTAGTGCCAAGGTCCAGATCACGGTGTCGGGATGAAATCCAACTGCTCCGTCTCCAGATGCGTTACAGCGATGGCTCGTCCTCTCCTCGTTGAGCGTCCCTCTGTCACAGCGCTGGAATAGAGCCTGGGGGTTGAATGGGGCTCTGCTCGCCCCTCCCCGGGTGCAACTTTCAGACCTTTCCCTTGGATACACATGAGGGATGGAAAATCCCATTTAATTAATTAACCCATTGATCTTTGTTTAACATGTTAACCGATTAAGGGGGTGAGCGGCCTGGAGTGGCCTCCCTGCTGTCGGTGGCAGCTGCTCAGGCCGGGCTGTGGGCCTCCTGTTCAGGGCTGCCCAGCCCCCAGCGGTTAACCATTATACTCCTAAGCACCACTGCAGCCAACAGAGAGGAGCATGGTGCTGCCTCTCCCACGAGCCAGCAGCCCTTGCTGGCAGCTCCTCCCGGCAGAGCAACGGTACCGCCTCCAGCAGAGCGGCTGTCTGACCCCAGAAAGGAGACCCCACAGCCGGTGGTGGGGTTGGTGGAAGTACAGCTGCTCTGCCAGGGGGAGCTGCCCATGCAGAACACTGGCTCCCTAGAGTGATGGGTGGTGCACAGGGGAGGTCTAGGTTGGATATTAGGAAAAATGACGTTCCTAGGAGGGTGGGGAAGCCCTGGGATGGGTTCCCTAGGGAGGGGGTGGAATCTCCATCCCTAGAGGGTTTTAAGTCCCAACTTGACACAGCCCTGGCTGGGATGATTGAGTTGGGGTTGGTCCTGCTTTGGGCCGGGGGCTGGACTTGATGACTCCTGATGTCTCAGCCAGCCCTGGGAGTCTCGAATTCTCTGACAGTAGGAGAGCCCTGAGAATCTGTAGCTACCAATGTCTATCCACAGATATCCACATCAGCAGGTACAGTTGTAGCCACACAGGGCTCTATTGCTAGTGAATCTAGTGATTTATAATGAAGCAGAGCAAAAATCGCTAGTGGATTCAGCCCATTGCCCTGGAGAAATTATATTTCAGCAAGTAGGGAACCCTACTTGAACAGACAAAACCTTGAGTGCTTCCCAGGCAAAACATGCATTGTTACGGGTCATTATTTGCTAGGCGCCTGTAATGGGTGCATAAGGCTAAGGCCAGGTCCACACTACAACACGAAAACTGTAGCTGGAGTCAGCTTAGCTTATGCCAAACTTCTGCACCATTCGTTCCCCCAGTGGGATGTTGATGGGAGAAACTCTCCCATTGACCTCCCTTACTCCTCACAAGGAGTAGGAGTACCAGTGCTGACAGATGCTCTCGGCGCTCAATTTAGCAGGTCTTTACTAGACCTGCTAAATGGAATGGCAGAAGATTGACTGCCGCAGCACTGATCTGGGAAGTGGAGATGTGGCCTAAGGCCAGTCCCTCATGTCTTAGAGATTTGGCTGACTAAGATCTGAGTAGAAATCACAGGTTGATGCCACAGGTTGATGCCAAACTCTTTTATGGGGTATACTGTTTTATAAGTGCTTTTGCCGACTCCACGTGTGTGGTGAGGGATCCTGTGATTTGGATTTCAGTAGTGCCTACAGGATGGTGCCTACTCTGTGCTAGACATGCAAAGACACATGCCCTAAAGATCAAAAGAGCCTAAGGGAGTGAGGCTCCCAACTCCTGCTGCATTTCATTGGCACCTGGATGCTGACGTCCATCTCTTTGGGAAATCCCAGCCATAGGACATATCTGTTGTATCAGTGGGTGCACCAGCTTGATGTGACTTCATACTAATATAGTCAATTGACGTCAAGTGTGTCTCTTTTTGTAGCTGACGGTTGTAATTAAAAACAAGTGAAATGGAAAGTGGGCCTCCTGCAGGGACCATGTAAAAGGAGAACAGCCCTTCTCTTCGTTTCTTTGAGTGCAGATAAAAATCCACACAATGTACCAAGAGCCAGTGGCAAATGGCCAACGTGTTCCGATTTTCAAGTGTTAATTGTTGTCTTTAATATCTTTGATTACGTGAACTGGTTGCTTTTATCTACTACAGAGAGTGTATTTGCTCTTATTGAATTATGCTTAAACTTTCTTCAGGGCAAAAAGAAAATGAAAGTCAAAATTGGGGATGTTAAAGGCTATCCAGGTAATCAGTAAGCACTGGAATAAATTGCCTAGGGAGGTTGTGGAATCTCCATCACTGGAGATATTTAAGAGCAGGTTAGACTGACATCTATCAGGGAAGGTCTAGACGGAAGTTGATCCTGCCGTGAAGGCAGAGGACTAGACTTGATGACCTCTTGAGGTCCCTTCCAGTTCTAGTGTTCTATGATTTTGTGATATGTCTTACTAGCATGCTTATTGGCTAACCGGTTAACCAGACCCCTCCTCTACCCCATGGTGGTCCAGCCAGCAGGGCCACAACAGGCGGTGGGCCTGGACCTGAGGCAGGGCAGGGGCAGCACCCACCAGCTACAGGTGGGGAAGGAGCCCAAGCAAGCTCTGATGCCCGCAGGCAGTGTTTAACTGGTTAAACAAACATTTAACCAGATAACTATTCTAGGTGGTTTTTAAATCCCTTGTCCAAACAGAGTCTAGCCTGAAACACTCTACATGGTGCCTAGAGTTTGCATTTTATTTCAAAACCAGCGTTGTAGCTTAGATGTATACCAGTGCACTGACGTAGTGGATTTTCTCTGTTACCGTGCCATAACTCACCTCTCTCTTGCTGACAGAATTGGAAGTTGCAAGACTAAGTACCGATGGGAATTTAGAAGACCTGAAATTTCCACAGAACATGGGCCACGGGAGTGCCATCCAGCTATCAGCAAATACACTGAAACAAAACGGGCGAAATGGTGGGTGCTGACCATTAGTGCCTTTCCCACTGTTTGATTTGGGTCGCCGACTGGGTTACCTTTAAAAATTGCTTATAAAGGTTGAATACATCATTAGTAGCTGTTGCAGACATGAGCGGTGTCGGTTGTAGGTACAGGTTGAACCTCTGTAGTTCAGAACTCTCTGGACCGAAAACATTCATAGTCCAGCATGATTTTTGTTAGCTGGATGTCCACTTACCATGGGTGTGGCTGAGTTTCCCGTGGTCCCATGAAGTTTATTCACAGCCACCAGACCTGACTCTCCTTGTTCTGTGCTGTTATTTCACTCTAATTTACCTCTCAATGTCTTCTAAGAGCCCAGCAAGCAGTGGAAGTGTTGGTAATGCTGCTAGACAATATTGACCTTCTGTGGTTGGGCACATTCTCTGGTTCAGAACTGGTCGGGTCCCAAGCGTGTTGGACTAGAGAGGTTCAACCTGGAGTTATAAGCACGTCAATTAAAAAGATGTTATTGATGGTGGTGAGTGCAGTTGCATGTAGGAGCCCCATTTGTGGATCAGGGCCCTGTGGTGTTAGGTGCTGTACAAACCCAGGACACACAGACAATCCTTGCCCTAAAGAGCTTATAGTGTAACTAGAGCTGTAGCAAACTCTTTGGCCGCAGGGGCTCTTTTTCGTTCTGCCTTTTTACTGTCCCTGATCCAGGAGTAGGACTTTGGACACTGTGATAGTACAAATAAACAAGGAGTGTTTGTAACCATAATAAGTAACCTAGCGACCCATTGGATTCTATAACAAGTGCAATAGCAAGTGAAGGTTTGCTAACTCTGTATAAACTGTTAGTGACTGTACCTTGGTGTGACCTTAACTTACTCAACTGAGATGCACTTTTTTTTCTCTCTCTTCTCTCCTGACTCTTGTTAGTAGCTGAGAGAGGCAAAAAAGTCTACATGACCAGATCCAGTTCTTCTTAGGGTACATTCACACGGCAAGGGGCAGCAAGTCTCAGAGCCTGGGTCTACAATCTCATGCTTGTGAGACTCGTGCTCTGTGGCCCTAAAAATAACCGAGGTAGGAACTCAGAGGCTTCAAGCCAAGCCCCTGCCCTCATCTTCAGACCCTTAGCCAAAACATACATTTGGAGTTATTTAATAAGGTGCCTCGTAAATTTCGCTTTAGTGCTTATGAATGAGTGCCATCAAAGTAACTATGTCTTCTTCCTGTCTCTGTGATATCCTAATACTTTACAGATCTTTTCCGTGACTTGATGGGAGCATCTCACCTAGTCCATTTGATTGATTGATTTTTTACTTAGGAGCCTCCATAAAAGCTGTTGTGCACCTGGTGTTTCATATGATTTCACTGCCCCATGACCTTGGCTGCATGCTAAGTTGGCTGATTGGAACCTTCTCTTCCTGCCAAGTGACTGTCGGTCTTTGGAAGGGTTGAGGGTCTCTAAATGCACATGGGTTTGTTAAATCATGGTGCAGTGGGAGATAACGCTGAGTCTCGGTTAGTAGTTAGCATCCGGGGTCTATGGTGAGAACCATACCTGGGAAAAAAGACGTACCTAAAAACCTCGTTCTGAAGTGCTGCAGTGTACAGACATGGGGAGGGGGGAGCCCAGTGAAGAATAATGACACCAAAAGCCAACACACCAAAGAGAGATGATTAAAAGTTATGAATCTAAATCCTCAGTGTCTTTATCTCTAAAGCTTATGAGCCTCTTGGTATGCTGTAAATTAAAGATTACGTTAGACGGGAACGGTCTCTAAGCCACCAAGTTGTGCATTTCTAGTTCAGTAATTTGAGCAGACACATGTGTTGATCTGTCTGTATAGATCCACTCTAGCCCAAACCGTGAAGTGCCAGGCTCTGTGTGTGTACTACAAGGCTTGACAAATTTCTCTTTATGAGATCCATTAAAGTAAATACTCTGCTCATTTATTTTATTGTTCTGTAATGAGTGTGTATTGCTTTTGAACATTAGACCGTGTGTGTGCTTGTAAATGCTACAGTGCTCGGATCATTGCAAAATAGGCAAAATATAAAGGCGTAGGAGAGTATAATGCTAGGGAACCGAGGTTAAACTGTTAAAAATCCTGAAGGCGCAGCCTCGGTCGTGCAGAGATCAATGGGTATTTTGCCACTTAGTTCAGTGTCATCTAGATTTAGCCCTGAAATTGTAGGATTAAAAGAGAATATGTAATTGGGTGAAATCCCGGGCCTGTTGAGGTCAATGGCAGAACTTCTATGGTCTTCAATTGGACTCGTATTTCACCATATGTGGGTGGACTTCAGAAATCTATGGGGAAAAAGAAACTCTGTAAACAAGCTTTGAAAGACAGGGAAGCAATCCGCATAGCATGCTGCGAAGCCTGTGACCAGAATAGGCTTGGACTCAGCTGCACAAGCCAGAACGGTGATAACATTTTACCAGACTTGCTCTTCAAACTCCTTGGCAATGTCTCCTCCCTGGGCAGACGGGAGTAACTCCAAATGGGCAAAATGGCACTGGGTTGTGCTATTGTGAAGATAGCAATGGCTGTGGAGACCAGCTGGTTGCGCTGTGTGGCAATTAGATCTGAGTTTTGTTAGCTCCACTTCGGAAGTGGATTTGCCAAAAGGCTGGTGCTGGCCATGAGCACCAGCAAGTCTGAAGTCCAAGCCCGAACCCTGCCACTTAGGGTTAGATGTCCCCACTCAGGATAGAAACCCTTGGCCTTCAGCTTTGCCCCCTCCCACCTAGGACACCGGGGTTCAGGCACGCTGGGTCTCCATTCCCCCCTCCTGGGGTTATGTAGCCATTTTAGTTGTCAGAAGGGGATCACGGCGCAGTGAAGTTAGAAAGCTACGGGGCTAGATGAACCTTTGGTCTGACTCAGTATGTCCATTCTCATGACCTACTTTGCGTGCCACTGTGTGAGTGCTGGGGAATTTTGTCCCACTGGGGAATTTTCCCTCAAGTCTTCAACCAGAGTTTGTACCTCATGACAGTTGTCATCCAACGGTGACAGTCTGTCTTGAAATCACACAAGCTGGGGACTGTACCGGCACAGCGGCCTGATCCAGGAGTGGAGAGATTTAAAAAAAAATACTAATCCTTACAAAGGAAAACTAACTTGCTGCCTTTCTTCAGGCTTTGCAATGATGGGCCAAAAAAGTAATAGCTTCAGTTAGGAATCGTTTTGTTGGGATTGTGAGGTTTAGGTACCATCCCTAACCATGGATTTATGGAAAGGGAGAAAACCTGGTTGGAAATGTATTGAGTTAAAACAATTCTTTTTTCTTTCAGATTTTTGTTTTTTCCTTTGTTGCTGATTGTTTGTGGATGTTTTCCGACCTACTCCCAGCCCCTCTTCTCCTTCATCCCACAGTTTTGATTGGAAATAGTGTTAGGTTGTTCGAGTTACTCCCTGTGTCTAGACTGTTACGTTAGAGTGTGTCCGAAGGATGAACAAACACCAGAGGGTCATGGGTAGACACCACTCTCCTTGCTCCTCCTGGCTAGGAGAGGAATCAGCTACTTCCCCTCTTTTCCATGGAGCAGGTTATTCCTACGTTTGCCAGAAGCCCCGTCTCCCTTCATTTCTTCTTACCCACCTGCTCCCAGAGAGAAGTATCAGATAACCAGCTCTCCCCACCCATGGACAGTGTGATGGGCCACATGGAGTTCTGGTATTGGCAGTCACAGTGGGAACTGTGTGCGCTTTCAACTCCTGACGTTTTGTTACGCTCCCAGCAAGGGCCGGTGGTACGTTACCCCGTTAGCCACGTTCCCAGCATGCACACAGCTCTGTGTTCCAGCAGAGCAGGGAAGAGGGAGGAAGTCCTAACTCACAGAATGTGTTGCTTGGAAGGATCAGTAGTTATCTCTAACAAAACCGTCTGGGCTGGCCTGGTCTGATCTCTAACTCCTCTCTGCACTTTGTAGGTGAAATCAGAGTGGCTTTTGTGCTGTACAACAACTTGGGTCATTATCTGTCCACGGAGAACGCCAGCATGAAGTTGGGAACAGAGGCCATGTCAACCAATCACTCCGTCATAGTCAACTCCCCCGTCATTACAGCAGCAATAAACAAAGAATTCAGCAATAAGGTTTATCTAGCTGATCCGGTGGTGTTTACCGTCAAGCACATCAAGGTACGGGAGGATGGGGGCATGGGGAAACCACACGGCAAAGGAGATTTTAATTTAGTTTCTAAAGCTCATGCAGCAAATTTCTCCAGTTCAGCCACATGAAGCACTTACTATCCTTGGATTAAATTTTGAGTTACATGTTTGTCACTGTGTGCCTAATGTGTTATAGGCAATGTCTCATTCACATGGTACTAATCAGGGTCTCCACTGTGTAGAAGCCCCATCATTCAAAAGCTACCCCACATCACTGTATAATTAAAAGCTTCCAATGTATTGAAATGGTCCAAAATATTGTTTTATCGTGGTGGCCTGGGATGAGAGAGGGAACAGGATTGCATTAAAAGAGGACAGTTAGCCCTCCGGTAGCCAGCTACAGTAATTGCAAACGTTGATTGCTTAAAGCAATTAATTTCTCTGCTCTGCAATGCAAATGAAGCAGCCTGGTTCTGAAGCGTTGAATTTAGTCTGTGGTTGAAATTAATCAAGAACAAAGAACTAATTTGGCAGTCACAAAGAGAGCCGCAACAATCGAATGTTCTCTGGCATGCGGAATACTTGACACGCAAACCGTTGCTAAGTGTGCACACGAAATTGCAGGGTAAGAGTTACAAAGTGACTTTGGGGAAAGCGAGTGCATTTAGGAATCTCAGAAGCCATGAGCATTTGTATTGCATTTATTCATTTCTCTCTGCAGCAGTCGGAAGAAATTTTCAACCCAAACTGTTCATTCTGGAACTATTCAAAACACACGATGACGGGCTATTGGTCGAAGCAAGGGTGTCGTCTCCTGACCACAAACAAGACACACACCACGTGTTCCTGTAATCACCTCACCAACTTTGCGGTCTTGATGGCCCATGTGGAAGTGAAGGTAGGCACTGCGAAGCCCGGGGCGGCAGGGTTAATACAGTATTGCTTTGATGCGAGGAAGAGAGAAAGATTTGCTGAGGTTGATGTCTGAAGGCAATTCCAAGCACAGAACTTGTAATTCTGGCCTGGCTGGTTTGTGTTTCACTCCTATTAACTTCAGCGGAAGCTGAGCATGGGGGTCCCAGGGCTGTGACTGGCCCATAGTGTGACCAGCTGCCAAACGAGACACAGAACAGTGAGCGGCGAACTTCAGAGTGAGGGAGGGCTGTGGGTATTGCATCTACAGAATCCTAGGGTTAGCAGAGATCTCGGGAGTCATCGAGTTCAGCCCCTGCCCAAAGCAGGACCAACCCCAACTCAATCAGCCCAGCCAGGGCTTTGTCAAGCTGGGACTTAAACACCTCTAGGGATGGAGATTCCACCCCTCCCTTGGGAACCCAGCCCAGGGCTTCCCCACCCTCCTAGGGAAATACTATTTCCTAATCTCCAACCTAGACCTCCCCCACTGCCACTTGAGACCATTGCTCCTCATTCTGCCCCCCCTCAGCACAAGTTGAAGGCTGCTCTCAAATCCCCCCTCACTCTTCTCTTCTGCAGACTAAACAAACCCAAATCCCTCCGCCTCTCCTCATAAGTCATGTGCTCCAGCCCCTGAATCTTTTTCATTGCCCTCCGCTGGCCCCTCTCCAACGTGTCCACATCCTTTCTGAAACCCAGACCCACAATGGCAGAGCACTCGATGCTGCAGTCGTTGTCCTGTGGAATCTAGCTGTGCCGTGAAGGCCCAGCGTGGTGATGTGGCTGGTGGGGCATAGCAGGAGGGAGCTGTCTTGCCAGGGCTTGCTGCCTCCTGGAGAGCCCTGTGATGCAGACAGCTCTTTGGGGCGTGCAGCCAGTCAGTGCCTCTGGCCGGTGCCTCTCTCCCTTGCCTGAGGGGAGCCAGGGTGCTTCTGTCGCTGGCTGCAGTTCTGCCTGGCTCTGTGTCAGTCTGTTCCAGGAAGGGAGGATCCCTTTGCACCTCCCACGCTCCTGTTAGAGCCAAGTGGCCTGGGGTTAGCCCCCTGACTTCAGAGGGCTCACTTGCTCTGAGCTGGTCGGGGTGACCCTCACGTGAGTTGCTGATGGAATAGGACTACCTGTGCCAGTAACTGCTCCTCAGTGTTCCCGCGGGTCGTCAGGTTGGATGCACAGACATGCAAAAGGTTGGGTTGGTTCCTTTCTGATCAGGTTTGTGGTGTTCTTTCAAAGGGTGTGCTTCACTTCAGTCTCTCTCTGGCGGGGTGGGCAATAACATGGCAGCGGTTCACCAGGGTTAGTCGCTGGCAGGCCGCTGCCGCTAGATTTACCTGCATGGCTGCAGGGGCCAGCGATCGCAACTCCTGCTGGCTGCGGCTCGCTGGTCCCAGCCAACAGAAGTGGCAGGAAGCAGCACGGAGTGGCACACCACTTCCCACAGCTCCCATGGCCAACGGGAGCTGTGATTACTGGTGCCTGCGGCCGTGCAGGAAAATACAATGACAGGGGCCCCCCAGGAGGTCGGTAGCATTAATCATGTGCTAGTCAGGGAAACTGAGGCACGAAGAGCCAAAGTCAGTGTCCAAACTGGGACGTTTTCTGAACACCAGTCCTGGTGCCCTGTCCTCAGGCAACGCTGCTTAGTCTGATTCACATTGCAGAGTTGTCTCTCTTTCGTTTGCGTGGCTGTAGAGTCGTATGCAGTTTTTGTTCGGCTGTTGCCAAAACACCATGGGTGCCATAGTCAAGGCAGCTCTGCGTTGCCGACTGTAGCCTAGAAGGGCAGCTTGCGGGCCTCTCTCTGCTTCCGAGGTCAGTGGAATCTCAGCCTAGCCAACAGCGTGGCGGGGAGCTGGTCTGATGGCTTCACATGATTGCTGTGTGCTAACTGGGATGCAGGGTCAAATACAGGGGAGCGCTGGGCGCAGAGTAATTCTGGGGGCCATAAATAACCTTTCCGAGCATGACCCCTCAGCACTGAGGGGCAAAGGGGACCAGGCAGGAGAGCAGCTCTTGTGTCTCTCCAAGAGGCCCGGTCCTAAGGCCTCCAAATGCCAGTCCGGTGACAAAGATCTCTGTTTTCAACACAGCATTTGTGTTCTCCCAACCAAGACATCACGTGGCTCACAGGGAATGCCAGAGGCCACCTAGCTCCCCTGGGCCATGCGGGCGTAGCCTGCAGTAAGAGAGCAGTAGAGAGAAGCCTTGCCCAGAGGCAGCAACATGCCCGCCGCTTCTACCACTCCGGAATCGGGGCCTCTGACTCCCCACGCTGGGACCCAGGGGACTGGGAAGAGGCTGCCCTCCCTTACTGCACACCCCTGGGTAATAGAAAGAGGGACGTCCCATCTCTCCTGAAGGTACAGAGACCGCGATTCAGCCTGCTCCGTGTACAGGAATGCTGGAGGTGCCAGGTGTGATTGTCACGGCGCACCCAGAGAAAAGTTAGATTAACAACATCAAAAACCCCGCACTTGCTGGAAGGGGGCAGTGTCACACGGCTTTATTTCTTAGCCTGCGGAAAGTTCACACACACACACAGCCCAACCAAGAGGGAGAAAACGCAGGTAGTTCCCTAAAACCGAACAAAACAACCCCCCGTCTCAAGCTAGGCTGGCCCTCAGCAGACCCACTTCTCCGGTTCCTCCTTTCCTGGGGAGCTTCCTGCCCTACACACAGGACCTGCAGCCCCCCTAGGAATTGCATTAGCCGCTTGCCATTTTTACGGTTTTCAGTATATCATCAGGGCTCCTTCTAGCCTCACCTCCTGGCTAATGTCATGGGCAAGGAACACCTCACTCCATGTGAGTGGTGTGGAGAGGGCCGATAAAGAAAAGTTATTTATTAGTTCCCTAAATAGAAGAACTAGAGGACACCAAATGAAATTAATGGGTAGCAGGTTTAAAACTAATAAAAGAAAGTTCTTCTTCACACAGTGTGTAGTCAACCTGTGGAACTCCTTGCCAGAGGAGGCTGTGAAGGCTAGGGCTATAACAGAGTTTAAAGAGAAGCTAGGTAATTTCATGGAGGTTAGGTCCATAAAAGGCTATTAGCCAGGGGATAGAAATTGTGTCCCTGGCCTCTGTTTGTCAGAGGCTGGAGAGGGATAGCAGGAGACAAATCGCTTGATCATTGTCTTCAGTCCACCCTCTCGGGGGCACCTGGTGCTGGCCACGGTCGGCAGACAGGCTACTGGGCTAGATGGACCTTTGGTCTGACCCAGTACGGCCGTTCTTATGTTCTTAGCTCAAGTCGGCGGCCCCGCGATTTGGCGAGTGTCACTCGGGCCGTGAATTAGCATCCTCCCTAGGAAGATGGTACTGCCGAGGGTTCTTGTGAAGGAGGATTCTGCAGACAGCCCTGAGTTCTGGGCTGTGCTTTAACGATTAGCATACCCGGAGGGAGGGAAGGAGGTTCGTTCTGCGAATGATTGATAACCGCCTGCTTCTCTACGCAGTTGTAGCGCTACGTCTGTGTCTTAAGGAAAGGCAGATATCAATGGCTGACCATTAGCGCTGTGATCTATCCCAGTGCCGTAAGCCTGGCAGTGCAGGGGATCAGTTCCAGGCTGAACAGAACTCTGCTCAATTAAGATGCAGGATTTTTTTTTTTTTTGAAAGATGCTATTTGCCCATTAGAACTGGTAGAGGAGCAGGATTTTTTTTTTTTTTTTTGAAAGATGCTGTTTGCCCATTAGAACTGGGTGAGCCTGGAGATGGCTCATCAAATTCAGCTGGCTCCCTGCTTATGCATACCTGATTTTTCAAGATCCTAGGACTCTGGTAAGAGCAATGTCTCCCCAAATACCCCCTCAGTGTAAAAGGCCCTGGAAGGGTTTTCTTTCTCCCCCACAAAATGCTGAGGAATAACCCCATGGTAGGCCATCTTTCCTCCAGGCCTTTGGAACACAATAGTCTACGTGGAGTAAGCATAGTCACGCAAGTTGATTCATTCCCAGCACTGTATCTTTTGACGGGCCTGTCAAGCCGCCCCCGCCGCCCCTAGCATTTGCACTTCGAAGTCCTGGTGTGAATGGAAATTCACAGGCTACTTCAAAGACGCAAGCTGCATTTTAAAGAAAACCCTAGCAGGACGAAACAATGATGTGCTAGTCAGGAATGATCATGCATATGGTCGCCTCACTGAGCAATCAGGGCTTTATTTAAGCTGTATACTGCAGAGCTCGCAGTGCGTCATGGCTATGACTCTTAGCAGCTACACAGTTACATTTTTAAATGCATTTGTACATCCCTGCTTAGATGCAGCAAGACCACAGCAGTTTTCATGCTCTGGAACAAAGCACATGGTTTAAGGACACAAGCCATTCTACCTATGTAATAGCGACGGAATTATCCTTCAACATTTACAAGATGATTTTCATGAAAGCTAATACTTTGCATCATAATAACCACAGCAGGGAAATATATGCAACTAGAAAACTAGTTCAGTGACAGAATCCAACTATGAGTACGAGTAGACAAATATTGCTCTGCTATGTGTACTGCATGCTAGAAGTTGCTATTCCAGTAAGGTGCTTTAAATGCAGACAAATAAATTGTCTGAAGTTGTAAAATGTTATACTCTGCTATGTACAAATTATATTGTCATCAATCATTTTGAAAGCTGACGAGTGAGGCGCTTGGAGGAGAGAAAAGCACAAGCATTTATAAAGTCCAAATGGACCATCTGGGTCTACCGCCTGAACCAATCTCTAAATTTCAGATCTAAAGAACAGGCCCTGCTCACCCCTCAGCTAGACATACATTCACCAGAGGGGGGTTGAAAACATTATATTGAAAAGCAGAATTAGGGTCCAGGTGTAGAATGTGTTTATAATTTCCAAGTTAAATGACTATAGCTGCTGCATTGTAAACTGAATAAGGGATTTTGCACCTGTTAAAGGGTTAAGTCTCTGCAGAAGAGTTTTATTATGCTGACATTCAAAAATGTGTTAAACAAGGAGTGTTTCAATTAAGCAGAAAAGTT